CCTCCTGCTCCATTTTTTTTGTTGTTGTTGTTTTGCTGGAAACCAACATTTACCTACAGTTTCCAGAAAAAAAATGCCCATTGCAGATAATGGATTCACTTAATGACTGCAGATTCACAATGACTGCAAAAAATTATAAAATTGTGTTGTAAAATCGACCCGCTTTACGACTAACATGACTTACAACCATAATTCTGGACTCAATTAGAGTCGTAAGTGGAGGACTAGCTGTACTTCATGAAAATATTTAAAGCAAAGAGGTGGTGTTGGCCTTAAAAAAAAAACCCTCTAAGATCCACAAAGGAAAGTCAACTGAAATGTTATCAAAGCTTCATGCTTTCAGATATCTTAAATTTCATCATCATGTAAAAACATTTAAATCCAGATTTAAATAAAGTGAATCTATACAGAGTACTTTCTTAAATGCATTGCGAGACAGCCTTCAGATACTGAATCTCTCATAGCTTGCTGTTTCTGTCCAATGACAAATACAGTGAGGGAAAAAAGTATTTTGATCCCCTGCTGATTTTGTACATTTGCCCACTGACAAAGAAATGATCAGTCTATAATTGTAATGGTAGGTTTATTTTAACAGTGAGAGATAGAACAAACAAACAGAAAAAATCCAGGAAAACGCATTTCAAAAAGTTATAAACTGATTTGCATTTTAATGACTGAAATACCGTATATGCCGGCATACAAGGCGACCCGGCGTATAAGACGACCCCTGTCTTTGGCGCCAAGTCGCATTCCTAGAATGTCGTCTTATACGCCGGAAACTACCAGTATTTCCGGCGTATAAGACGACTCGGCGTATAAGACGACCCCCGACTTCGGCGCCGATTTTAATGCTTGCGGAAGTCGCCTTATACGCCGGCATATACGGTAAGTATTTGACCCCTTCGCAAAACATGACTTAGTACTTGGCGGCAAAACCCTTGTTGGTAAACACAGAGGCCAGATGTTTCTTGTATCTGGCCACCAGGTTTGCACACATCTCAGGAGGGATTTTGTCCCACTCCTCTTTGCAGATCCTTGTCAAGTCATTAAAGTTTTGAGGCTGACAGCTCAAACCTTCAGCTCCCTCCACAGATTTTTTATGGGATTAAGGTCTGGAGACTGGCTAGGCCATTCCAGGACCTTAATGTGCTTCTTCTTGAGCCACTCCTTTGTTGCCTTGGCCCTGTGTTTTAGGTTATTGTCATGCTGGAATACCCATCCACGACCCATTTTCAATACCCTGGCTGAGGGAAGGAGGTTCTCACACAAGAATTGACAGTACATGGCCCCGTCTATCATCCCTTTGATGCGGTGAAGGTGTCCTGTCCCCTTAGCAGAAAAACACCCCAAAGCATAATGTTTCCACCTTCATGTTTGACAGTGGGGATGGTGTTCTTGGGGTCACATAGGCAGCATTCCTTCTCCTCCAAACATGGCGAATTGAATTGATGCCAAAGAGCTTGATTTTGGTCTCATCAGACTCATTCAGTCCTCCTCTGAATCATTCAGATGTTCATTGGCAAACTTCAGACAGGCCTGTACATGTGCTTTCTTGAGCAGGGGGACCTTGCGGGCGCTGCAGAATTTCAGTCCTTCACGGCATAGTGTGTTACCAATTGTTTTCTTGGTGACTGTGTCCCAGCTGCCTTGAGATCATTGGGTAGTTCTGGGCTGTTTCCTCACTGTTCTCATGATCGTTGAAACTCCATGAGGTGAGATCTTGCACGGAGCCCCAGACCAAGGGAGATTGACAGTTATGTTGTGTTTCTTCCATTTGCGAATAATCGCACCAACTGTTGTCACCTTTTCACCAAGCTGCTTGGCGATAGTCTTGTAGCCCATTCCAGCCTTGTGTAGGTCTACAATCTTGTCCCTGACATCCTTGGACAGCTCTTTGATCTTGGCCATGGTGGTTGGAATCTGATTGATTGATTGCTTCTGTGGACAGGTGTCTTTTATACAAGTAACAAGTTGAGATTAAGAGCACTCCCTTTAAGAGAGTGCTCCTAATCTCAGCTCGTTACCTGTATAAAAGACACCTAGGAGCCAGAAATCTTGCTGATTGATAGGGGATCAAATACTCATTTCACTCATTAAAATGCAAATCAATTTATAACTTTTTAAAATGTGTTTTTCTGGATTTTTATTGTTATTCTGTCTCTCACTGTTAAAATAAACCTACCATTAAAATTATAGACTGATCATTTCTTTGTCGGTGGGCAAATGTATAAAATCAAAAGGGGATCAAATATTTTTTCCCCTCACTATATATCAATTATTTGGCAAGCGAGAAATAGAATAGAAATAAATATAGCAATTTTTATAGTAACTTACCTGGACAATTTAAACTATTTCATGATTTAACAATGAATTCAAAACTATATAGAATATGCTTATTTAATGGTGAAAAAGAATCCACCTCCAAAAGTAGAGTCCCAGCAAAGATCGTGTAAAGTCTTGGTCACTGCAAAATGGCTCTATTCAGATCCCATTATGTTGGCTTTTATAAACTAAATTTCAAAATTGTGTAATAATGTTTCAGCCCATTTTTCAAATTTTACATTTATTCTTCAAGGAATATCTAGTATACTGTTTTATTCTAGTTTATTCTACATAATTTATGTTAGTAAAGCTTGAGCAGACTATCCCCAATTAATATGACTCCACCAAGTGAAAATAATAATAATTTATTAAACTGGTATAGTTGCCTCTCTATCAACAACTGTGCAAGCACAGTGAAGTGACAGGGTCTCCCTCACTGAAGACTTTCATAGGCCTTCTAAACATCAGCAGAATGGAGTCCATCTCCATCTTGTGGGAAACCTCATTCCAGAGAATATGACAGCTGAGTGACCTGTGATAGGAAAGATAGATATGTGGAAGTCAGGATTAATCTTTGTTTTGTAAACACAATTTATTAGATTCATATTTATAAGCTTTGTTGATCAGACACAGATGTCAATTTGTTATAATTCCTGATCAGGTGTCAATACCACTTGAGTTTGAAATCAGATTCTAGTGTTTTGTGTTTGGACCCTGCCAAGACCAACTGTTGTGAATCATTCCGATTCATGGTTCCCTTTCTTGTATGGGCTATGGCAGACATCTCAAACTCGCGACATCACGTGATGTTGTGCGACGTATCTGGACTGTTTTGCCATTGTGGGTAATAGGGTGGGTGCAGCTTCCGCATGATGCGCCTGGCCAGCAGTTTGACATCCCTGGCCTATGGAAACCTACATAACCATTCGCCTTTTGCCTTTAGGGGAATGTTTCACGTCAGAGTCCCAGAAATATTTTAGCTCTCAGTAATCTGTGTAAAAGAAGCTCGCATTAGAACAGATAACTAGCATAATCTTAAATCCCTAGAGTATTTGCTTTGGCAGAAATCTAATCATTTGGTGAGAGTTGGGAAGCAGGGTGGAAAATTTGCTTTGGAAGCTGGCTATCTTGGGAAATCAAGTTTAAGAAAAGGTAAGGAATAAATCAGTGCGCAGTAGTGGGATTTGCCTCTATACTTGCCTCTGTGTTTTTCAAATAGCATTTTAAATGATACTTTAGCCTAGTTTTAATGTTTTACCATTGTCATCCCTGAGACAAAATATACATGTAGTTATGCCTCTTTACTTTTTTGTCAATGTCTGTCTTTGTAGTAATGTCCAAAAATACAATTTGCATACATGGTATGTTGTCCCTAGGAACCAATATAGTTCATACTTCATTCTGACAAGAGAATCTGCATATTCATATATCTGCACACAGCCCAACATCTCTGCTTTTTTATTTATTTATTTTTTCAATAACCTAGAAGGTAGTAGAAAAACCTTACTGTGATACTATTAATCAGCATTCACATTCCTTTTTCTGTTTTCTTAAGTTTTCTTCACGTCATGGAAGATGCTTGTCCTTAAGATTTTCAGATATTTTTGACAAACTTGATTCTATCAAATCTACTAATCTGACAAAGTGCCTGAAAGTTAGTCTGTAGTAGTTAGTACGTACAGATTTTTAGTTTCAAATTACAAATGGTTCTGCTCATAGATTCTTGTTAAGTGTTTTGGCAGAAAAACCATGGTCTCTTGTGTTAAGACCATTTTTTTGTAGCTGACATTTTTTCTGAAGGCTTGCACATTTATGTAGGAATTAGCAAGTAGTATTCTTGCTTTGTTTTCAGCATTTTAGATATTGACACCTGGGGTAGAGTTGGAGATGAGGAAAAAAAGAGAGGAGAGTATAATAGGCAAATTATTTGGAAAGAAGGAATCTAGGTATGTTATGCATTTGATATTTAAATACAGTATATAGCTAACAGTTTATTTTTGCCAAACCAGAATTTCCTGTGGGTTCTTCTTCCTCCTCCTCCTCTTTTTCTTCTCTCCTCCATGTGAGGCAATGATCTGCATTATTCTGGTACACCTAATTTAAGAAATATGGAGCAATGACTATAGATGGTGGCTGAAGTCTTCAACAACTTCCAAGTTTTTAAACTATAGCCAATATATGAGACTCCTTTTAGCATGAAGAACAGAAAACACTTCAAACTAATATATACAGACATTCTAGTTATGAAGTTTCTCAAAACATATTTTGCATTTAATCATTGATTCTTTTGCATTGTGATTGCATGCTGAGAACAAATTGTAACATTTCCAATACAGCAAATGACATTTCAAAATTACCCTGTTCCACAAGCAAAGCATGATGTTTGTGTGATCGGTGATAATAGCTTAATAAAAGTATAAGTGCTTTTTAGAATTACGTATGTTGAGAAATGAAAGTTTAATAGCAAGTTCAAACATATGTTTATAGTTGTGCATGAAACTAGAAAACATACTGCAGCATTATGAAGAAATATAACATGCATATTTTCTACAGCTTTGTAAAATAATGGAAAGTACAAAAAAACTTAAATGTATTTTCAGGGGCAATAGATTTGTCAAAACAATATATATATATATATATACTTATATCTATATATGGGCTTTTTTCTCTCTCAATAGCCATAGATTGTAAGCAAAAAAAATCAAGATCAAGATCTGGAAGCAAGAAAAAAATTCTACCATTACCTCATGGTGCTGATGAAGTTTACATACTCCGGTGCAGGTATATATAGACATATAATAAGAAATAATAGTTTATTAAGAGTTTTTAATTTGAGTAGACCTATATTCTGAGTATGTACTTGAAATGAATAATTTCACTATTTTAATAATAGATATAACCTTGACAAAAGAACACTGGAATAGGTTTTGAGTCTGTGGCGTGTTGTCCCATGGTTCAAGACATAGACGTGTCATTGAAAAACTCATGTTTGTGAAACCATAAAACTTGAACTGCTGACAGATTTCAGTTAATACATTGATGAGAACCAAAGAGGACATGAAGAACTAATAATGCTATGAGCAAGTACAGTAGTTAAGCACCATCATACCTGCCAGAATCTCCCAAAATTTTGGTAATTTTGTATAGGTTTTCTGCACCATTGTTTAACTTTACTGGGTGGAGCAGTGCTGTTATTGTATTGGGTGAAATCTGCTATGGTGGAGTGCTACAGTGTATCTGTTCATGTCAAAACAAAACTTTCCAACAAATCAACTAAATGGTTAATGTTTTTTAATTGAAAAGTTTTACAAAAATTACAAAATATACCCCAAACCCACCCACCCACCCCCCTACCCCACTTCCCAGAGCTGAATACAGGGTAACAAATATAATAATCATAATCTAACTAACATTAACCAACTATGTAGATAAACAAATATAATGCACTTTAACTCTCTTTTAACACAGAATAAACAATTTACAAATGAACTTTATCATATAATCAAATTAAAATCCCAATTTATAAACAATACAATATACTAAAGAATCCACTACACTAAATTATTAATAATAGTAATAATAATAATAATATTCAATAATTTATTCATAAAATAAATGGAACTTTTTAGTCCCATATTTATTCTGAATATAATCTATCCATTTTCTCTAAACCGAAATGTATCTTTCTTGTGAATAATCCTTCAAATAAGCAGAAATCTTAGCCATTTCTGCTAAATTTGACAATTTAAGCGTCCATTCTTCTATAGTAGGCAAACAGTCCTTCTTCCAATATTGCCCTACCAACAGCCTTGTTGCTGTTATTAAATTCAACATCAAATTAGTTTCCTTAACATCAAAATCTACAATAATACTCAACGAAAATAATTGAGGAGTAAACTTTATCTTTCTTTTAAAAATATTCTGAATAATCTACCAAATTTTAATCCAAAAAGATTTTACATTTCTACAAGTCCACCAAATATGAAAATAAGTTGCATCCAAACTACCACATCTCCAACATTTGGGCTGCAAGTTAGGATACATACAAGACAACTTTTGGGGATCCAAATACCACCTATAAAACATTTTATAAAAATTTTCTCTCAAATTTTGCGCTTGAGTAAATTTTATGTTTCTAACCCAAATTGTCTCCCATGTATCCAATAGAATCGGCTCTTGAATATTTTGTGCCCATTTTACCATACAATCTTTAATTCCGTTTCAGAATCCAATTCTATTAAGACATTATAAATTCTCTTTATATGAAACTAAATTGTTAATTTTTAATTCCAATTCAAATGCTAGTTATTAATTATATAAAGTCCTAAATTGTGAATGTAACATACCTCAGGAAACATTACAACTTTATAATATCTCAGGTTAGTGAATTCTATTGTTCACTTTCTCTTCCATCAACAGTGAATGTTTATCCAACATAGGATAAACCCTTTAATTCCTCTCAAAAGATGCACTTTTAAAGGCTTTTTAATTTGTTACACTATCGGTGATAATAGGTACGTATGTTGGACTTTCTCATTGGAAGAGCAGAGAGTTCTGACATGGGCCTTTTCTGTTACAATGTCTGTCCTTGGAAACCTCAAGTTTAGATTGGCATCGATCCTGGGGGCTTTTGGGAAAGCTTTAATGACCTGGAGTTTTTCCCAGGCAAGAGGTTGGGGAGATAATTGACTACAGGAGGTATTATATATTCATGCTTTTGATCTTGGTTGTTACTAAACTTTTTTATATTGTTTATTCTGTATGTGGAATTTTTTATGTTTGAACGGCCACGGAGAATTTTATTAAGATGGGCAGCCATTTAAATTGAATGAATGAATGAATGAAGTGTGTAGTATTATCTGGAGAAAGGTAATAATACTAAGTGATTTCTCACTAGAGACAAAGAATAGATAGTGAAGAAGATACTATATTGCGCTAAATATGGTTTAACTTTGTACACTAGTTATTTTCTAGCTAGTTAGTAGAAATACCCAATATTCTGCTGAGATATTTTTTGTTGATTTTGAGGAAAATAATCGAATCATGGGTACAGCTGCAGCTTGGGCATTTTAATGTACAATACCCATATTACAGTATGCCACAACCTTCACTCCTGCATATTTTTACCTTGTTTCACAGTTTATCTAGATCTATTGTGTTTTTGATGTATCCAAAAATGAATTTTTTAGGGAAGAGAGCTTATCACTGCTAATGAGCCATTTAACCATAGATTATGTACAGAGATAAACTTTAGATATCAAATTATAGCAATTTGTATATCAAGAACAATTTGAATTCAGAATAAAAATTCACTGTATTAACCTACATAAAGATCCATATTTGGACAATTTGTGTGCTAAGGCAAACTTTTCTTATGTTACTTTGTGCAATCACTATATTGGTTACAGAGTTGCTTAACAACATTAATGTACTTTGTTTGAATCATTTAAAAAAACTATGTAGGTTTTGTGGTCTAGTGTTTCGAGGACCCTTATCTGTTCAAGAAGATTGGATAAAGCACCTTCAACGCCACATTGTCAACGCAAATCTTCCTCGGACTGGGGCTGGCATGGTAGAAGTGACATCACTGTTTAAAAAACCTGCCTCAATTTCTGAAACTTCATTTTCTTTCCTGATGGCTGAAGCAGCTTCATAGAATACGAAAACACTTCATATTGCATTGGATGTACATTTGAAATCCTTTTGTTAGTTTTTTTAAAGTTAAATTATCTTTATAAAATTTGAAGCAAGAAAATGGGAGGGGGAGGAGACAGTTAACATCCAAACAATTGAGTACTTAACACAGTTACCGTAAGTAGTCTTTATATTTTATATAGGGTGGAAGATGTATTTTTAAAGTTTACTATGTTTTTGGGTCAATTACCGTGTTCACTATTGATACAAACCCATCACATGTAAGAAGATGTTTTTAAATTGTTGCACATGGGATCTTAACGATAAGTTTTATGAAATGAAAGCATTCTTTACAGTGTTACCAGAATCAATGCTTTGTTTAAAAAAAAACTTGCTTAGTAAAATATTTTATTTTGTTTGTATGTATGTAGTGTTTTGTACAATACCAAGAAATGCTAATGCAATTTATTAAATTTAGGGCATTAAAAATCATGGACTTCATAGATCAGGAGACTGTTCCATTCAAATAGGGCAATTAGTACTATTTAGCTGTGTATGTGTTTTCTAATCACACAAGACTTTTTTACTAAAAGTGGAGGGAAACTTGTTTAACAAATTTCTAAAACCTATGTACATAATACTGGAAACTATTTGTGGTAAGGAAAGATTCTTTACTTCACCTGCATTTCTCACTGACAATAAAGTGGTGCATCCATGCTACCTCCAACTTTGTCAGCAGTAATGGTATTTACCCTTTCCATTTGTAGCATCACATACTTACAGTTTTCTTTATTATAGAACACGCTAATGACATTGTTTCTTTATGCTTTGCTTAAAGGTATGTTGCTTATACAAGTCATTTTGTTGCCTTTTATTTAATACTATAGAAATGTATTAAAAGCATTGCTCACTACATGGCTTAGGTTAAACTAGCCTTTTTGCAGTTGTTTTTAAATAAATCATAATATCATTGGACACAAATAGAAAAGTTTCCATATATGAAGAGAATGTTTACAATTTGAATTTTAGAATTTGTTTTGGGTGTAATTATATGTATGAAAACTGTAACACTATGCTCATGCTAAGGACCTATTTACAGAATTATTAAAATAAATGTGCTGTGAGGATAGAAAAATATGGTGCAAGTGTCTTGATCAAAATTAATATTGGCTGTTGACAAAAATGTCACTTTTCAGCAGATAAGCAAATTCCTCTTTAAAAACTGGTTCTGTAATGCAAGTAATGTTTCCTTTTATTCATGTAGGGTGATTAATACTGTAGTTAAGCCAAGGAAATGCATTGATATTGTTTTGCGTGTAAATAAAATTATAAAACAGTTGAGATGTGAGGAGTATTTTGGTGGAGAATATACATACCTCACAGCCAGTGAAATTGTGTTCCTCATGGTATATCTCCATACCAAGACTATATCTCTCTAAATAAAAGGTTAAAAGAAAATGTGATATTTGTCTGTAATGTGAAGTAATTCTTGTTCTGCATTAAGTACATGATCTAAAGTTGATTAGTCTCTTCTAAATACATACTATAGAAAGCAACATATGTTCAAAATATTCACAGGGGAACTAATATCTGGACAGAATCCACTGTTGTATAAATTGCTTTTTCACCATATTCTTCTACAGAATTCCACTTTTCCGGAGGAAGTTTTAAAACCACAGGAATAAAACTCCACCAATGCGGTACCGTTAAGGTGGCAGGAGGAATAGATACTGTTCTGTTTGATTTGATTTCTTGCAATGATTAAAATAAATCAACCCAGCCTGGAGAATTTTCAGTCAGGTAGACATCAGCTCCCAGAATCCTTTCACATGACTGAGGCATGAAAAATCGCAGTACAGACAAATCATATATATGGATTAGAGAGAAGTGGGTGGGACAACTACAGAGTTATTCATAGTCCATTGTATAAACTAAAAGCAGAAAATTGCTAGAGTTATGGGTAACCTAGTGCTTTAGCAAATTAAATTTTAAATGGAAGAAAATTTATTTTATCTCCGTTATATTTTAGAAATACCAAGTACATTTAATAGCAGCATGTGTGCTTCTCTGCATTATCAGTCACTATAAACTACTTAGTCTATTCAGAGCAAAAATTCATATATATTGTTATATTACTACAGTTTTGAACTCAGGGAGCTTTACAATTCTGATCAAAACCTAGAACTAAAAAGAACTGCTTCTCTTGTATCAGTATATCAGTTCCTAAAAATTTCAATAGGGATGTTGGCATGGGCTTGTTTTATTTTTGGCTGGACCCAGGCAACTTTTGCTTTGGTCCAGGTCTGCCTTTGTTTGTAACTTTATTGTTGACCACAGGATTCTGAACCGGCTCCATGGATTGGGGATTGGAGTCTCCATTTTATAATGGTTCTCTTCCTTTCTCCAATTCCAGTCGGCGTGGTTGTGGGGGAGAGATCATTCCCTAGGCCCCTCCTGTGTGGGATGGTGCCACTCTCCCCTCCTTTCCAACATCTACATGAAATCACTGTTACATTATGCATAATTTTGGGATATGGTATCATCAGTATCCTGATGATACCCAATTCTGTCTTTCACCATGGGCCAGATGAGTGAGGCTGTCAGGTCTGCCCCTGTGCATGGGAGTTGGGGAAGAACTGTCTCTGATGTAATCCTACTAGACTGAGTGTCTGTAAGTGTCTGAACTACTCAGATTTGGAGATACCATCTTTTGCCTTGGAGTTGCATTTCTCCCTTCAAGGTCAGTATGAAACTTGGGGGTCTTCCTGAACTGCTGGGAGCTTCTGCTTGAAGAGCAGATGTGACTAGGAAGGCTTTTGCACAACTCCATCTGATGCAGCTATTATGCCCTTTCCTAGATCAGAGGGCTGGGGGGCTCTTTAGCTCATACTAATCAACTTGTGGCTTGACAACTACAATGCTCTCTGCATGGGGTTGCTCTTGAAGATCACCTAGATTGCTTCAACTAGTCTACGGGCCGGATGCGTCACGCCGAAACCGCACCCACCCCATTGCTGGCAGTGGGGAAAAAGTCCCGATACGTCAGCGACATCAAGTGACGTCGCAAGTTTGAAATACCTGAACTAGTCCAAAATGCGGCAGCGTGGGAGAGTGAGACTCCATACTTCCTTTTGCTTGTCATCTTTTTTTCCCCCTTTTTAAATGTTTTATTATAATTGCTTTGTTTCTTGTGAGTCGAGTAGCATACAGTTTTAATTGATGGTGATGATTAGATTTCATAATTATTCAGTGCATGCCAATTTATAGATTTCCTATTCAACATTTTATATACTATGGATATTGGACCTTTTCTTGTCCTAATGTGGTTGGTGTGTGTGAATATACTAGTATTTCAGGGGAATTTAGTTAACATTTTTCAAATGGCTTGATTTTTACAATTATATTTTAACTCTCCCAAAGGAGCATAGGTAGTATCCAGTTTTATCTTTGCAACCTAATCACAATCCCATTTTGGCTGTAGGGATTCATTCTTTCCAGCCCATTAGGTCATTCAAAGTAATGACAAATTTGTACTTCCTAAATTCTAACGTCCTTCATCTGTATATCTGAAGTATTCTTAGCATATTGAAATGTGGAGAATGCATTCCTATAGAATACTTGGTAATGCAAAATACAAAATAATTAGCTATATAAATATTTGTGCTTTAAGAAAACTTTGTAACTAGTAGATTTTGAGTAAATATAATTTCTATCTGCATTCTCTAAGTGACAATATCTAGCAGGTTAATTAATGGAAAATTGGATTTACTTCAGTCAAGTGACTGGAGTTGCTGAGTTTATAAAATGTAGAATTCTGGCCACATTTTAATTCCTGACCTGTTCTCTTGATTAATGTTAAGTGTACAATTCATTAAATGGTTTTGGTGATATGTGATAGGAATGAGGAAACTCTTCCTCCAGATATTATAGAAATATAATTGTCAACAGCCTCAATGAGTATGGTCATTGATGAGAAATGCTAGGAAATATAATTATGCATTATCTTGAGGAATACACTTTTGTTCTTCTAGTGCCTAAGGATTGCACTGTGTAGATCTGGCAGAGATTGCAAGCTCTTTGGCTATGTTTTCGGAGGATTGCTCTTAATAAGAGCGAGGCGTGCTCACTCCGGAGCTTGTTTTGGCTAGGAAGAGTCTTGAGAAATGGCTTTTTCCTGCGAAAACTTTGCCAAAGAGCAAGGCACGCGTGCCCACAGAGAGGGCTCTGAGTGCCCCCCTCTGGCACGCGTGCCATAGGTTCACCACCACGGGTATATACTTTTGGATAAGCCCATCTGCAGATAATTTGAACCCAATTTTGGGAGTATATTTTGGCACCTAAAATTCTCAACTTACCTATAAGTAGACACTAGTTACAGTATAAAGAGAGGTTAAATTTTGAGTGGTTCAGATGAACTTTCCATCGACACTGTACACGTAGTCCTTGACTTATGATCATTTGCTTAGCAACTTTTCAAAGTTATGACAACCAGCCTGCATTATAGCCATTTCCTTGCAATTTATAGTAAAACTGGCCCATAATTAATAATTGCTTTGCTTAACAATCACAGGGTTTGCTTAATGACCATCACAAAAAAGGTTATACAATTGTGACAGTCATGTGGGTGACCCAGTTTATGACCATCAGAACTTCCAATCTGTCAATTTTCAGAAAGTAGTCTCAGTTCAGTAAGGATAGATGATGCCCAAGGTAAAGTATCAAATTCAGACTAATGCTAGAAATCACGAGAGAGAAGACATTTTTAGTAATTGGGGGGGGCAAAGAATGGTCTCCAAATGAGTTGCAACTTCCATGGTGTTGGCAACTGAGCAATAATTTGGCATGAGACATGTACCTTTATCAAATTTGTCTCCATAAAAGTTTCCTTTGGATGCATGGTGCAGTTGTTATAAAGCCTTGGCCCACGTTCTACCTTTGTTCTGCTTCAATTTGTTTTAATATATCTTCATTGTTGGCTCCCTCTTCAGGGCCTGAGAACAGCAGTTAATGTGAGGCACCATTTTGGTTACCAGAAGATGGACCCAATCTAAAAACTTGTTAGAACATGCAGAATTGTCCTCTACATATGTAGTTCTTATAACTCATTTTCTTTGTTGCACTTCGGTGTTACTGGCTTATAGATAATTGTTGAAATGGTTATTCTTGTAGATGAAGTTAATAGGCCACTGAATTGGGTGGGGCTATTCCACAGGCTATGGAAATTTAAGCCCTGCCTTCTGACTAGAAGAATTAGCTCTTTCCTGTCAGATCCATTTTCCAGAGAACAGAACAACTTTTTATGGTAAGTCAAGTGCCATTTTATAATTAATTGCCAGTTTATTCTTAACTTACATGAAGCTTATTTTTTAGAGAAATGTTCTAACATTAAGGCAGTAGGAAATTAGACAGTAAAAATGTGTAATTGATGTTAAGATGTGTGTGTGTTGGTGTGGGTGCGTGCATGAATGTGCCTTCGAGTCATTGTTGACTCCTGTTGACCTCTTGAACATGATCTTGCAGTTTAATGGCAAGATTTCAGAGGTGGCTTCCCATTGCCTGCTTGTTAGGGCTGAGAGAGAGTGGCTGGCCCAAAGACTAAAACTCACTGTCTTCTGGTTCCTAGCCTGATGCCTTAGCCACTACAACCACAAACTGGCTTTCTTAAAACATTAGTAGCCATATAAAGGTATCATGTTTGTCAGTTTTATTTTAGAAAAATGAATCTTCTGATATAGTGCTGTAGGATATAAAATAAATATAGCTCTTGATCTAGTTGAAATCCAATTGCCAGTACAGAATGTTGAATAATTTAAGCGATCACACATGTTTGCAGTTATTGTCACCTTTTATGGATTTGGTGTCAGGAAACTCACATTCAGATGGAGAGACATTTACTTCCTCTTTATACATGTGTAGCAGCCAAAGGAAGTAACAAGACATAGTATTGATTAGCTGTTCAGATGGAAAAAGGATGGAATTAATGCTTTTTTAAAATGAAATGGTAATGAATGCAATGGCTAGTTTTTTTGCATATGTATGCATCTAGAACAGTGGTTCTCAACCTTTCTAATGCCGCGACCCCATAATACAGTTCCCCATGTTGTGGTGACCCCCAACCACTTATACATCACTGGGTACCAGGGGCGTGGCCAAAGAAAAGGGGGAAAAATGGCGGACAGCCTTGTTTGGTGACCCCCATGAAATGGTCATTCGACCGCAAATGGGGTCCCGACCCACAGGTTGAGAACCACTGATCTAGAAGTTTATTATTTGATTACCGATAGGGCTGACCTCATATAATGATGACTCTATCCTCACCTGAAAGGATTTCAATTATAACTCCTTCCAAGAGCTAGAGATTTGTTCCTAGGCCCATCCTTTTGACCAGCCTTATTTCTCAGTGTCCTTGTTCATATTTTCTTACATGTTCTGTAGGTTGTGGTTAGAGCTGTACTTTTCCTTT